TGCGAGGAACGGGAAGTGGGGTGAGCTTAGTGCGGGGCAAGGGGTGTGCAGAGGGGCAGGTCAATGGGTGTGCAGAGGGGCAGGTCAAGGGGTGCACAGAGGGGCAGGTCAAGGGGCGTGCAGAGAGGCAGGTCAAGAGGTGTGCAGAGAGGCAGGTCAAGGGGTGTGCAGAGGGGCAGGTCAAGGGGTGTGCAGAGGGGCAGGTCAAAGGGTGTGCAGAGGGGCAGGTCAAGAGGTGTGCAGAGGGGCAGGTCAAGGGGTGTACAGAGTGCAGGTCAAGGGGTGTGCAGAGGAGCGGGCCAAAGGGTGTGCAAAGGGGCAGGTTAATGGGTGCACAGCGTGTCAGGTCACAAGATGCCTTCCGTGGAAGGTCACAAGATGCCCTGTGTGGCAGGTCACAAGAGGCACAGCATGGAAGGTCACAATATTAACTAAGTGGCAGGAGACGCATCACTCGGCGTAACAAGATTATGTGGTAACGTCCAAATTAAAGCCTTTATACACTGGAACAAAGTAAAGGGCCATCCTCATAAGAGCAGTTTCCAAGCTACAAAACTTGGTCCATTCCTTAATATTGATACTTTTCATGTTCAAGGTAACTAAACACCCGAAGCATGAGCCGAACTTGTTTCAGGTGACATTTCGAAGGATGTTGCGCGGCTGCGGAAAGTCGTTCAGCGCGCAACTACCGAGGCACAAAACCACAAAAATTGCAACTTTCGCTCTAATAAGTCGACAATGCACGCCCGCGAGGCGCAAACTGCTCACGGAAGAACATTTTTGACGTGCATGATCGCCAGGCTTGCTGGGAAAGTCGGTAGCGCTAGGCACTTACAGGAACTGATAGTAAGGAAGTGCACACCACTAGCATCGTCATGATCAGCGGGACCTGAGGCGAGAGCTGGTAAGGCATGTTACAAGCCATCAATAGAACCAATAACATTCCAGCAGATTAGTTCAGGCATAATAAAACACAGGTTGATAACGTTCTAACCCACTTGCTGTGATATTTTGTGGCGTTATGTGTCACTACAACACACGGCAGCTAAGCCGGTCAAATCGTTTGGTGAGCTTAGAAGTTGTCGAACGGTAAACTCGTCTCTAACAGATAACCTGTTCAAATTTCCTTTCAATTCACTTATCATCAGAGTTTATTTCGACTCAGTACAGGAAACAATGCAAAACAAAGTAAACACTCAAATTCTTTCAAAATTTGCAAATTATTTACCGAAAATCCGTCAAAAAATCTTATTCTGAGAGTGAACAATGAGTGGTGAGTCACCGCGGGAGCGCCGCTCGCGTGCGCCGAAATTTGCCAGAGCACGCGAGATGTCGCCTCACATGCAGGGGTGCTCCATAGAGTGTGCTCCATGGAGTGGTGTGCTCCATGCAGTGGTGTGCTCCATGGAGTGGTGTACTCCATGCAGTGGTGTGCTCCATGCAGTGGTGTGCTCCATGCAGTGGTGTGCTCCATGCAGTGGTGTACTCCATGGAGTGGTGTGACCCATGCAGTGGTGTGCTCCATGCAGTGGTGTGCTCCATGCAGTGGTGTGCTCCATGCAGTGGTGTGCTGCATGCAGTGGTGTGCTCCATGCAGTAGTGTGCTCCATGCAGTGGTGTGCTCCATGCAGTGGTGTGCTCCATGCAGTGGTGTGCTTCATGCAGTGGTGCGCTCCATGCAGTGGTGTGCTGCATGCAGTGGTGTGCTCCATGCAGTCGTGTGCTCCATGCAGTCATGTACTGCATGCAGTGGTGTGCTCCATGCAGTGGTGTGCTCCATGCAGCGGTGTGCTCCATGCAGCGGTGTGCTCCATGCAGTGGTGTGCTCCATGCAGTGGTGTGCTCCAAGCAGTGGTGTGCTCCAAGCAGTGGTGTGCTCCAAGCAGTGGTGTGCTCCAAGCAGTGGGGCTGGGGCGCTACGTGTGGAGTAAAAGTAGGTGTACTGTGCTCCAATTCGTGGCTTGAAACCCCAGCAACAACAGAAGCTAATCTTATCACTCGATCTTTAAAGAAATTCAAGTAGCACTACAGTAGTGCCACTACTCAACAAGTTCAACACACGTAGTAAAAACTACCTGTAGTTTGTACTACTACAGGTGTATTACACTATTACTACTACCTGATCTGTTACTACAAAGCAGCACAGATCAAAAAGCCATAACACATTCACAAAACCGTAAACTACACATAGCCATCACGCATTCAGATTCATAATTAATAATAAGTCCTTACGATTTACTGGGTCGTTTTTAGTCAGAGTTTGGTGCAGCGATTATGAACAATTTAGAGCCACCGTTTAATCGTTTTCTGTTCGCACATTGCTTTCGCTGAAGAAAACATTTATTGGGTAGACTTCTATTTTAATCCATGAAAGCGCCTCCCTTCACGTCGGGATTCTATCATCCTGATTCAGAAATAATTTATACCAAAATTTACCTTATAAGTTAAAATACATTGAATTAATTTTCCTCTTGATATAAATAAGGTATTAATTTCTTCCATTAATTTCTTACTTTAATAATTTTGTGAGTTTTATGTCAGTTATGAACAATATACAGTATTTACTTTCGATTTTTTTACTTTGATACAAAAAATTACGATGTATGACTAATGAATCTCCCGCAAACCGATTAATGATAGACTACATCGACTGATAAACGAGTAATACGTCCCAACAACACAAGATCGGGGACATATTTAGGGTTTATATGTTTCATGGGCAGGGTGGCCCAGTGGTTAAAGTTTCAGAGTACCAAGATTGGCGCAGAGAGGCGCGGGTTCGATCCCAGCTCTGTGCGACAGTTTCTGGTCAGAATCGGCGAGGAGGCCGGGCGGTTAAGCACAGCAGAACTGTAGCTGTGAGTTGCGAGTTCGAGACCGCAAAATGCTGTGGATGTTCTGCGATGCTAAGAATCGGCGACAGGCCTACGGCCTAATAACGCTGAAACCGCTATTATTATTATTATTATTATAAATATTAGGATGCTTCTTAAAAGTATCATGTAAGAAATAGGAAGTGATATAACGTTTCAAGTTAACTATTAAGAGAGCGGCTATAGTTGCTGCACCAGCGATCCCGCTGCAGCTTTGCACTAACTGCGTCAATTGCAGACATTATAGAGTAACGCGTACCCGGAGCTTTAGAATAATGTAATAAAACTATTGAAAAATGGTATAATTTCAGAATAACGTAAAAATAATTAATTTATTGTTACTGTATACGGCGTGACGAAGATTAATAATTTATTTGATATTTGTTGGGAAATTTTGCTGTTCAACAATTTTTAAGGTGTTTCGTTCTTGTTTATCATTCTTGAACATATCTGCTTCAAAGTGGTCAAGTATTTAAATCTCGGCTGGCAAGACGATAGTTTACAAATTTAAATAATAAATGCGAACGACCAGCGGGAAAATTACGATATATTTAAGATAAAAACGTCCTACAAATAACTAATTTTCTTGAAAGTTTGTTGCGCGATACAAAGAAGCAGAGAAGCAGTTGCCACAGCAACGCTAGTGAGGGGATGCAAGGAGTAAGAATAGAACAAAGCTTGCACGCCGCCCCACAACTGACCTAGGCGCAGTCTAAACCTGGCAGTGCCTGTTTAGTCTTACCCAACTGAATTTAACAATTTTACAATAAGACAGGGAAACTTGAATGTCCTTGTCTACAAGACTGTCAAAGTATCCCCGCTTGACGCGTCTTAAGGACGACAACATTTTATTGTCTCCCCGACAGTTTGACAAAAATTAAAATTTTCGGTACATTAATCCCTCATATGAAAGTATCCATTAATTAAAGTGAATTAAATAAATGCATGGTTATGTTAGAAGAGCAGAAAGGGAACATTCCGCGGCTGAAGTAATAAATATAATAGAGCAAAGCAAAGCAAAAATAAAGCAAAGTAATGGCAAAACGGTGAAACAAGTGGTGTGATATACCATTGCCAATACCGGCCTTTAAAAGCTTACGAAGTGATGTCCTTGTTAAAGCAAATTGTTTCACTACGTTGGGGTAGTTCCGGCAACATATTCTTAAGGCAATAAATTACGAAGATCAAGTGGGCAAGTCACTTGGCAAGTAATTATAATACAACGGGAAAACGATCCCAGGATGCATTCGCATTCAGAATTGCACTTCCGAGAATTCCGTTTCGATGTACTGCGAGACCAGCAGTTAATACGATGCGTTGATACAATAGTTATTACTGTAAAGAATAACAGCTAGCAATGCAGTGCACTGCACCATCAGTTGCTACTGCTGTGGTGCACAGCAACCGTCACCTAGCCTCATCCTCTACTTCTCACTGCACGCAAACTAATAAGCAAGAAAATTTCGAATTTCCAAAACTGATTACACTTCACTAACATTGTCGTCAATAAAAAGAATAACATAACCACTTTTTGTACGTTGCGTGATATAATGCATAATTTTGATCAATTAAAACTGATAAGTTTAAATGTTTTTGTTCGGATGTGGTAAGAATGGCTGTTTTATTGGTTCAATAGTATGACAGTCATTGTAAAAAAACACCCAACAATGCCAATTACTTACCATGATGGTGCGCTTTAGAAGACCGCGGACAAAATAAACAATTCTTATTGTAGATTCAATTGAACAAAACATCATAAGTTAAAGAAATTTAGCTCGTTAATATACGAACAATAGATTAACACACCAATTCATATAACTCCTAAATCTTTCGGCCCATTTTTGCCTAAAAGTAGCAAGACTGTGTTAAGATTTCGAGCGAGAACATTTGTTAAGATTTCGAGCGAAAACATTTGTTAAGATTTCGAGTGAGAACATTTGTTAAGATTTCGAGTGAGAACTTTTGTTAAGATTTCGAGTGAGAACTTTTGTTTAGATTTCGAGTGAGAACATTTGTTAAGATTTCGAGTGAGAACTTTTGTTTAGATTTCGAGTGAGAACATTTGTTAAGATTTCGAGCGAGAACATTTGTTAAGATTTCGTGTGAGAACATAGAGGCTTGTCTTACCTGCTCTGAAGATCTCGCCGCAGCCGTCGCAGCGCGTGGCGAACTGCGAGTCGTAGCAAGGACCGCAGTATATCTTCTCCATCTTGCTGCCGAACTGCTTGTCTACCAGAGACACCTGACACTTCTGGCACAAGAAGCACTTCTCGTGCCAGTGTTTGTCCTTGTATGACAAATCCTGTTATGGAATAACGAAATGAATCAAATCGGGTTAATGATTCCACCATTAGTTCCTTTTTAAAAAAATCCTGGAACAAAATAACTAAAATCCTTAGATTTTAAATCCTTTACGACAAATCCAGTTACAAAAGAACGAAATGGATCAAATCTTGTGATTACTGGTCTCGGTATCCGTCATTGTGCAACAGAGATGGAGAGATATCGAAAACAATTTCTACGTCCTGACGTTTCAACGTTTCAGGAATCAGTTCAAGCTAATGAGAATCTTGCATCTTGCATTAACATGCCACAAAGAAACTTAAAAGGGAATAAATGTTGTTGAAATTGAAGCAAATCATAATCATCCGGTACCGAATTTTCGACTAACCTACTAAAAGCAATCAAAAATTTAAAAATGCTAACTGGTTCACCAGCCAGGAATACCTTAGCGTAATATCGTACAATTGACGTTAGTTGACGATGGAGTCTTTAGCAAAACGTATAACGCAAAAACATGGGAACGTCTAGAGGCCAAGTACTTTCCGTAATATTGTAATTAAAAGTTTTGAGAATTAAATAGTTAAGTCGTACAGCTTGGATTCATAAATGAGTTTGGACCTTTTATGAGCCATCTAGCAGACTTGGGGAAAACGAGAATCTCTATCACAATTTTGGCCTCCGCCAATGAGTTGATGCCCTTATTAAATTGCTTGCTGGGCTTTAACATCCGTAGCTCCTACTTGAAATACATGAATTTTTGGTCCAAAGATTTTCTTACTTATGCCTTCCTCGTCCATTAGCTCTTTGGAAACGAAACAAGCGACAGTAAAAAATGTAGGGGTTGAAAGCGCTCTGATCCAGTGATCTGAAAATTTACAGCTACTTGGACCTATAAATTAATTTCGTAGCAGACCCACACCAAGAATCTGGATCCAAAAAGCAGTGGGTGCTCACCTTCGAGTCGATGCCGATGACCTGGTTGCAGTCATCGCAGGTGTTGGCGAAGACGGCCTCATAGCACTTGGTGCAGTATGGATGGTCATCCTTGAGCACGTAGCGCTGGCCCGTTAAGCTCTCGTCGCACTGCCAGCAGCAGAAGTGCTCGGTGTGCCAGTCCTTCGACATCGCCTTCGTGTACTCGCCGCTGAAAATGAGCTGCAACAACACGAGAGAAAAATATTACAAAATGCACTGGGGAATTTGGAGGAGAGAGTCGAGAAATATATCGCTGTTTGAAAAAAATTCTTGGAAGAAATTGCCTCGAGCTGCAAAATAAATAGCAGTTACTCGGTAGAGTTATGAATAAAATTAATAATTCATGAGTAGAAAGAAGAAAAAATTATTTCGAAGACCGTTTTTACAGTTTTATGTAACGGATATGAAGATGATTTTAAATTTGAGAGACATGGTACGAAGGCTGGGTATACATCCTTCTAAACTGCTTATAGGTTAACAGTTTTTAATCAATATTAATGATGGAACAGACTTCTGCATTCCTGAGCGACGATCGAGTTGAGCTGCGTCCATCAGGTGCCCCATGTATCCTATATACAATAATTCGCTTCTGCAGGAGAAGACGAGCATTCCGGTTATTTAATAAACTATAGAAATGCATACAAACTTAGCCGCACTGCCAGTCGCTTGAAAACTTGCCGTCTTCAAATCGAATAAAATGAAGGAATATCACTTGGTTATGTCAACTATAAAGATGACACGAATGTTGTCTTCTGTCCAACACATTAGATGTTTAATAAAGCGTTGCTCTTTATTTTAAATAATTATTACATTACCTAATTATCAAAATACATCGACTACACGGAAAAAACGAACGAGGTTGCCTAAATCAGCAGGGAAATATACCACGATCATTAAAATTCGGCCGTATAACTTCCTGTTTGTGCTTTGTTCTTCCTTCGACTCCTAATCAATGGGCCAGAATAATATCGGCAACCATCCGGCACTGACGGGATGCGGGAGATTTGCACGTGAGTTTGAAACACTGCGGTGTGTATGTGGATCTATCGACACTCCATTTAGTCCATGTAATCAAATATTCATAGATATCTCTAAATGGACAAACATTCTAAAGATCTATGACTAAGTATCCGTCTCTGAAGAGATCGCTCTAGAAAGATTAATATTTATAAATATGATGCAAGATGTGGGTCTACACATGCAGAAATGGGTCTACACATGCAGAAGTGGGTCTACACATGCAGAAGTGGGTCTACACATGCAGAAGTGGGTCTACACATGCAGAAATGGGTCTACACATGCAGATGTGTGTCTCCGCATGCAGAAGTGGGTCTCCACATATGCATAAGTGGGTCTACACATGCAGAAGTGTGTCTACACATGCAGAAGTGGGTTTACACATACAGAAGTGTGTCTACACATGCAGAAGTGAGTCTACACATGCAGAAGTGGGTCTACAAACGCAGAAGTGGGTCTACACATGCAGAAGTGGGTCTACACATGCAGAAGTGGGTCTACACATGGAGAAGCGGGTCTACACATGGAGAAGTGGGTCTACACATGCAGAAGTGGGTCTCCACATGCAGATGTGGGTCTACACATGCAGAAGTGGGTCTACACATGCAGAAGTGGGTCTACACATGCAGAAATGAGTCCACACATGCAGATGTGTGTCTCCACACAATGCGTGTGCATGGATGAGTGTTCACTGATCACCCAAGCTTGCTCGGCTGCAGCGCCACAACGAGGCTCTGTGCGCGCGCTGGTCTCATCCCGCACTCCTCTCGTGCTTCACTTGACCTTCCTACACGAGGATCAGTTAGAATAGAATAGAATAGAATAGAATAGAATAGAATAGAATAGAAAGAATAGAATACAATAAAATAGAATAGAATAGAATAGAAGTGTCGGCACTGAAGAAATAGGCCCATGGCCTGTTGCCGATTCTTGTTCATAGAATATAATAGAAGTGTCGGCACTGAAGAAATAGGCCCATGGCCTGTTGCCGATTCTTGAACTTTTCGTGACTTGATTTACAAGGGATCCGGCGTTTGGAACCCGATCTTTCTATAGCTGACGATTAGTTAATCCTCATGCTAATGGTTTTCCTAACTTTATTGCGTGGCAGTTGAGGTTTTGGAATGTGAAATCTTCTTGCGTTGAGCATCTCCTCTGTGATTAAATTTTTAAAATGTTTGGTTCGATTTCATTTCTAGTTGAGAGCTCATGTTTTTTCCTCTTGAACTATCAGTGAGCATTTGTCCAGCAGCGCTTTCAGATATTGCGGACGGTGGCTGATCTCGATTCCACAGCGTCACGTATCTTAAGTGTACAGAGTGTCGTCACGCATATCTAAAGTGTACAGAGTGTCGTCACACGTATCTAAAGTGTGCAGTGTCATCACACGTATCTAAAGTATACATAGTGTCATCATACGTATCTGAAGTGTACAGTGTCATCACACGTATCTAAAGTGTACATAGTGTCATCACACGTATATAAAGTGTACAGAGTGTCATCACACGTATCTAAAGTGTACATAGTGTCATCACGCGTATCCTGAGGCACACAAATCGTCATCACGCGTATCCTGAGGCACACAAATCGTCATCACGCGTATCCTGAGGCACACAAATCGTCATCACGCGTATCCTGAGGAGCGCAAACATGGCATCAACGTTACACGACACGCAGCGTCTCAAGTGTTCAAAAGAGAAGGAGCAAAATGCACCAAATGTGAATACCAAGTTCATTGTGATGCATCACTGCATGTTTATACTGACCTGAGACAGTGTATCCTGATACCCAGTAGGGGACAGTGTATACCGATACCCAGTAGGGGACAGTGTATACCGATACCCAGTAGAGGACAGTGTATACTGATACCCAGTATAGGACAGTGTATACTGATAGTGTATACTGATACCCAGTAGAAGACAGAGTATACTGATACCCAGTAGGGGACAGTGTTTACTGACGCGATCAGTAGAGGGTAATATATACTGACCTGGTCAGTGTGGGGCGGTAGGGGCCAGGCTGCCCTCGCTAAAATGATGGGCCGAATGAATAACTCAGAGACAATTTTGTGAAATAACAAATTCGTAACGAAAATTCAAATGAAAGCAGAAACTAAAGCCAAAGTCAAATGAAAATTAACCTCAGAAGTCACACCGAAAAAGAAATGTTAAGGCTAAGTTTTCAGAATATAAATAGCATTTAATCAATGAGTAAAAATTTTCGTATATTTTCAATTATAATTCATGAATTACTGCATTTCAAAATGAAGAATCATTTGATTAAAAAAATCGCTAACAAAACGTGATTTTTTTGGATCTGCGATTCCCGTTCCGTAAATACAACACACTAACCGCTTTCGCAACACTTCTACACTGGCATACATCTTAATGTTCTGTATTATTAAGAGGCAAAATTTGAGGTTTTAGTCAACTATGTTATTAGTTCAAATGTCGCTACAAAGAAAATTAATTACGACTGTAGGCTAGTGAAATGGCGGCTTGCTTCTTATAACTATTGGCACAAACGCGCACTAGTATGACGATTGTTTATAACGCATGTGAGGGCGCTGTAAGAATACGTGCACTGGCGAACACATGCAAGCAGAGGGTGGTGAGTGGTGAGTGGTGAGTGGTGAGTGATGAGTAGGGAGTTATGAGTGGTGATTGGTGAGTGGTGAATGATGAGTGGTGAGTGGTGAGTAGAGAGTGATGAGTAGGGAGTGATGAGTGGTGAGTGATGAGTGATGAGTGGTGAGTGATGAGCGATGAGTGGTGAGTGATGAGTAGGGAGTGATGAGTAGTGAGTGATGAGTGGTGAGTGATGAGTGGTGAGTGATGAGTGGTGAGTGATGAGTGGTGAGTGATGAGTGGTGAGTAGAGAGTGANGATGAGTAGAGAGTGATGAGTAGAGAGTGATGAGTAGAGAGTGATGAGTAGAGAGTGATGAGTAGAGAGTGATGAGTAGAGAGTGATGAGTAGTGAGTGATAAGTAGTGAGTGATGACAACATCAACTAGTCGACAAGTCAGTGACGTTGGTGCACGGTCTCAACAATCCTGACCCGAGTGAAGGTGTCGCATTGTATCCAACATATGAACAAGCAAGCTTATGGACCCATGCATTATAGACCTTCTGTATCTACGTACTGATAGTAAGGATCTAAAATTTTGATAATCATGCCTAAAAGTAGGTGTGAAAATATTCATAAGGTTAGCAGGTTAAATATTTTAGCACCTTGATCACTTTTCTGCTATTAAATTTGCTGCGCAATCAGCGCTCACATTCGTACTTACAGCGAGTTCGGATGAACACCATAATCATTAAAGTGGTTAAATGGTCTAATGAGATATGAATGGTCTCGTAAATTATGAGTTATGTATAATATCTAAAGTCTAATGAGTGATGAATGACACGAATGGTCTAGTAAGTTATGCTTGGAAATACAGAGTTATAACGAGTTAACTTATTGCACGTTGCAGAAAGCTTTGATAATATATTTTCAAAATTTCATTCAAAAATTGATCTTGCTCATTCAACATTAAATAATATGACATGAACTATTTCGATATTCTTGTGAAATGGTGTAATGCTCTAGTTTATTTAAAATCGGATTATAAATGTATCAATAAATTTTCCGATCAGCTCGGTGGCCAGATTATCTAAAGCCTCGATTATTTCCGAGTATTTTCATTCCCAATTTCTACTAAATCTGTAACGGGTTCGTATTTCGGTGAACAACAGCAAGCCTCAAGTAAACTTACAACGTCAATAAACTTATAACGAATAACGAACATATCAACATGAGAGTAAATCCCTACCTCCTGAATTCACAAACAAGGGGATGGGTGAATGATGATTCAAATTTATCTCGCCGCGGGTTAAAGAGCTTTTCTTTCATTATAATAAAGTAAATAAAATTATTCTTTTTTCTAATTAAATGTAGCAGACTCAAAGGTAATATTTGTTCAGATCAACCGAGTTGCAGCAGACACTAGGATAAAATTCTATACTGGTTTCCTTCTATAGAACTGGCAAAACGATTTATTAAAAATCTAGAAATCCAGTTACTGTGGTAAACTATAATTTTTCCTTTGATTCTCTGTCAAATTATGCAGTTATGATGCGGTAATGAAAACTACAAAGACATTTTGATTTCCTTGTGTAT